CAAATATAGACTTATTATGTGGTTTTCAGAATCATTAGGTTGATTTAAACTATGGAACTGGGATACTGTAGAACCTATCTGACAAAAGAAGCTTCCCACCAACTTGGACAACTGTACTCCAAAGCCACACCGCCTTCGGCAGGAAGCTGCCAACAGGTACTGGAAAGCCAGGCCACACCTCTGCCCTCAGTACTAGAAAAAGGGATGCCTTGCACCCTGACTCTCAACACTGTCAAGCTGGTGACTATGCCCTGGGACTTTAGCAAATGATGCTGAAGAAAACCCAAACGCCTCCAAAAATGCCTTGATTCCTACTTCTGGAACCCAGCACATTTGATATTCCAGAATGAGTCTGTTTTCTTCCTCCAAAGTAAAGAAAGGCAAACCAGTAGGAGGCTGGAGTGGACCACGCCAGCCAGTTGCCGTCCACCTACCCCATACACTTAGTTCCCATAATAGAGATAATACTCAGACCTTTCTTTGATAGCACCCCAAAAAGACCAGGAATGTGCCCCAAACCTATTGACCTGCTATGAAACTCACTCTTGTAAATTCTTGCTTTTACATTACATTTCAATCGCTACTAGCATAGAAAAAACAAATTTCATAAATGTTCCACTTACTCTAGAGAGTGATACCACTTTTCATTTGTCTAAAATTTATTTCTATTTTAACTATCCAAAATATAAGGTTCACACTCAAATAATCTGAGTCTTACAGTCTTTGCTCATGACTCTTCTTGGCTTTCAACTTGGAAGATGGAGATCCCTCAATCCCTTACTCTAGCCCTCTACCTGCTCTTAAATTCTGGCGACCATGAACTTTCTGTTCCTTAAATCCCTCCCTTGCCCAGGGAATGGTCACCATCACTGTTGCCACATTGGAATAAAAGAACAGCCATGTAGATACTCAACAAGTCACATGCATGGAAAAAGTTCTCCCTTAATTAGTCTAAAATCTTCCTGAGCCATTGGAAGCCATTCTTACTTGTTGAGTCCGAGTGTTTAAAAAGCAACTCATGACAGAAATGACAATATGTCTGGCTGCGGGCTGGCAAGGGAAGGTCTCTTTTCTAATTGTCACACCTTATACAAAAATCCACCCAAAATAAATCATGGATCTAAATGCACAATACATAAATATAAAACTTACAGATATTATTTAGGACCTTTACCTTTGAGAAGAGTTCTTAGACATAACCGTAAAAGTGTAATCTATAAAAGGAAAAACTGACAAAATGGACCACCTCCAAAACAGATCCCTTTAAGAAGATGAAAAGACAAGCTAACCATTCAGAATACAGTCAACACAGGCATCTGGCTACAGTGAGAAGGAAGTGCTGCTGCTCTTCTTGTTTTCACAGGAGTTTTATTTTCAAATTCCTGAGCGCACACAGAAGGGTGGGAACATCGTGCGGCTACTCCCCCCATCCCCACCCTACCCGAGGCTGACTGCAGCGCGGCCAGACACCAGCCCCTGCCCACGGTCACATTCCAGACAGGCATTTATAAGACAGTGATGATTAAAAGGCAATGAACGACCCCATCATTGAGACCCAGACCTAATATCATCAGCGGGGTAGTTTTTCATAGAAATTATTTCAAAAACCAAACTCTACTGCAAAGCGGTTTTTACTTTCTTCTGTAGACTTCCTTTCTCCTCATCTTCTCCATTTTCACTGAAGAGAGAGGGCAGGGGAAATGGTATAAATGCCACTGAGAAGAATTTTGTTTGGGCCATGATGGGTGGCTCGGGCAGGGAACCCAGCACTCTGCAGAAGTAAAGGTTTTGAGGTGTAAATCACTGGAACCTGGTCATGCTATAAATCAGAGCTACTGAGCACCTTGCTTTCTTTACTTTTCTGCCTGGTGAAGCTCCAAGAATGACTAGCTTGCCCTCAGCATCAGACAGGACCTGTGTGCTGAGCTGTCATTTGGTCCTGCCTGCAGTCCCAGTACCCTCTTTCAAATGAGAAGAGCTCACATCCAGCCTGCAGGAAGGCATCCGAGGGAGAATCTTCTAACACACAACAGTGATGGCTAAGTTCTCTGTCCTAAACACGGTGGCTCTCCCTCCTCTATCCTCATGTCTTTTTAAAGCCTCTGTGAAACGTACCCAACCTCCCTGCGTTCCTCCCATCCCCTAAATATGCTCAGGTAACAGCAAGGAGGAATCTGTCAAGTGGGAAAATGATTAAGTTAGCAGGTTTATCTGCAGGCACAGGCTGCCTGAAGTGAGGGTGAGTTTTATCCCCTCCAGGGAGCGGTAGTGGAATGAGGATCTGTCTAGTCCGGGCTGCACCCTCAGGGTACCCAGGTCTCCCCACTGCACTGCCTGAGCTGAGGGAAGTCTCAGTGACACACTGCACATGTGCAAAAGAGTAGCCCCGGAACTGGGTTTGACCGGTCTCCTTCCGGCTCAGTGGCTTTGAAGCCATCGCAGTGGTATGTGTCTTCCTGGAGTGACACTTGGGGCAGCCACTGGAGTGAGGAGAGTGAGGCACTCCCCAAGGACATAAAATTTAAGGGGCCTAAAAATACTCAGTAATCAAGATCAATAGTAACTTACATGTGATTTGAAAAAAAATCAAAAATAAAGCAAAAATCCATGATGAACAAACTATGAAATTTTAAATAAGGACAGGATCAACAGGGCTTTGGGGGAGATAATAGATACTAAAAGATACGCAGATGTCCAAATGGCAGCAACAGTGGTTTTGCAGGAGGTTCCAGCTCAGTATCAAATCTGCATCCCCTGAGGCCTGGAGGCACCAAGGGCTGGGAGACACCTGTTGCTCTTGGCTCCCGGCTCTCAGGGGAGCCTTGGCTTGAGTGTTAAATAAAGCCAGGCACACAGGAGTTTTCCTGAACATAAAGGTGAACAAGGCCCTGGCAGGGAGACCGTGTTTAGTCTCTCTCTGACTCACTTTCCTGTTTATTTCCCATCCAGGTTCAACTGAAGTACTCCACAAGGTCAGGTGCGGCTGGGAGGATATTCCCACACAGGCCACCAAGAGGTAATCAAGGGCAGCGCCAATCCCACTGGCCCAATGCCAATTTATTTTCTGGAACCACAGCTCCCCTTGTTCGGGCAAGCTTCTCATTCCTCTCTTCTCACTGTGTTCCTTTGTTTTTATCCAGGAGTTGTAAAAATCCCAGGCCAAAAGCCCCTCATAAAGCTGGGAGATTAAACATCCCGGATGCACTTTTTAATCAGCTGTGACTCTGCATCAGCAGAAACTTTATAGCAAAGAGTGCTCAGAGTAAAACTCAGCATTTTGCAGGAGGGCTGCCACATCAAGAGAAAACACCAGCCACCCTCAGTAATTCCTAGGGCAAGGCTTCCATAGGCTCCTGCAGCCTCTCGCCCTGAGGCTTGCTTCCCAAAGCTGCCAGTATCTACCTGTACTGCCAACTGTGTTTGGCTTGGATTCGAGGAACTTCCTGCCTGCAAGACAAAGGGTCCATTATCCAATGGGCTCAGTGTCCTGCAGGTATGTGGGAAGGCACAGAGGCATTTATTCTTATCTTCATTTTATTTTGCAAAACACAGACTATCTTTACAGAGAATTGAATCTCACTCACTTCCTGCAAAGCACAATGGAGAAATTCCACTCCTAAACTGTCTCCTGGTGCTCTTGCTTCAAGCATGAGTGGGTTTAAGAAAGCATGAGGCTCCATAATCCAGCTGCAAAGCCCGAGCGGTGCTGGTGTGGAAGCCAGTGTCCTCCTGACACTGCCCAGGCCCATGGGCTCCTTTGGTGCATCCCACCCTTTTGTGCCCCTTGCCTTCATTTGTAAATGAGCCAATAGGAGCTGAAGGCCTAGACTAACTGCTTCTGCCATCCAATTAACTTTGTCGCCTCCAAAAATGGAAAAAATGAAACAAAACAAAAAACAGAAACAAAAAACAGATTTTCTGTGGCTTTTTTCTCTCATTTCTGAAATGAGGAACTTGGATTCTAAGCTAAAATGAAGCATAGAAATTTAATATCAAAAATTAATATTGATAATGCAAACAATAATAGAGACTGTTTTTGTTTTTTAGGATAGCTAGGACAATGCCTGAACCCAGTCTCATCATCTGTAAGTGAAGATCGAATTCAGGATACATCCTCACATCTTTCATCTCTTTTCTTCTTCAAGCAAAGCATTTGCTAGGCTTTACAAGGCAGAATTTAGCAGTCTTGTGCATGGGGCCAAATCCTGAAGCATTTTCAAGCTGACCTAGTTCCTGACCCCATCTGTCTGCAAATGCAGGTACCAAGTGGGAACCTTGAAACAGCAGGTTAAGCAACCAGCACAATTGTCAAAGAGGACGAAGTCCCCATAACCTGTACATTTTGTTCAAGGGCCAGAAAAAAATAGCAGAGCAAGATAGAAAGTGAATATCCAATATGAAGATAAGTGGTAAGGCAGAAAGAGAGAAACCTCCTCTTTTTCTTAAAAGCTTATTGAAAGAAAATGCTATGCCAAATGTGTGCCAAGCCCCTCTATCCTTTCATGTGCCGCAGGGGTGAATGGCCCAAGTTTACAGCTTTCACTAACATTCACTGGTGTTTTGGCCACATTGCACCTCTTCTTCCTGGAGCTATGCATAGCCTCCCCTGGACTGCCAGAAGTCGCAGGGTTCATACCCCAACTGGCCAGGCTTCTGAGATGGGGAAGGGGGCTCCTGAGAAACAACACTCATTTTGATCTGTCCCCTGCTATTCCCTATACCAGGAACCCTATGTCCACAGGCAAATACTGTGGACATTTTGGCTCAGGGGCTAACCCCAGCGAGGTCTGAGTGGGCCCAGTCCCAAAGACTCTTAGACCTACTGCTCCCCAGTAGGCAAGTCTTCATGTTTGATATCCAATCAGTGAAGGTTCTTAGGACTTGTGTTTTTACAAATTAAGATCAAATGAACATTCAGTGGCAGGGGTATGTGCTCAGAAGTATAAAAACAGACACGTGCAATAATAAAGGAACATTAGAAATTGCTTTTTGAGGCTCACCCAGAGATCTTTCTTTCGTCTGGTTGGTCGTTCTCACCACTGGAAGGCTCGCTCGAGTCCGGCTGCCTCTGGAAAAAGGACTTGGAGCTTCTCCCTCAGACATGGCTTCCAAGGAATCACCCGATGTCTCTGATAAATGCTCGACCGGCTCACCCAAACTGGGAGGTTGAGGACTGTGAGACAGTTTGGGGCTTCTTGTCTGCAAAAGGCATTTGAAAGAAAGTGGAAAAATAAACTATTATTAAGTATGCTAAAAATATTTTCAATGCCATCAAGGTCTACCAATTTACAAAAACAATATAGCAAGGGGAAGAAGTCTATCAGAAAGACTGGATAGAATTAAAGACCCAGTGGGTCAAAGTTCTAGGTGTAAAAGTTACTGGGGAAAAAAAAAAATCCCAACCATATTGCCCCTGAGCAATCCATTAAGATTTTTATCTCTGAACATCTACCTTACAAAGGCATTTGTACAAGACATTGAGGACAAGCCACATTATAGGAAATAATGATGGCATATCAATTCCTTGTGCCAAACAAATTCTGACAGTTGTTATAATACATGGAATTGTGCACATTTATACACAACCATGAGCCCTATAACAGCATTTTGGTCACTGATTGACTGCATACACAATGGTGGTTCTATAAGATTATACACAGCCTAGATGTATACTGGGCTACACTATCTAGGTTTGTATACTCTATAATGTTCTCGCAATGATAAAATTGCCTAATGATGCATTTCTCAGGACATATCCCATCATTAAGAGGCACATGACTATATACCTAAATGGATAATGAATGTACGCCAGAATATACTGAACACTATCTGTCCTTTAAAGTCTTATATCAAGAATATTTCCAAAATCAATAACCTAAGATTGCAAGGGAGATATTTATATCACAGTTGAACTTTCTTTTGAGGCACACATCCTAAAAATAAGATGATGTCTATTTGGTTATTACCTTGACAATCAGCATGAAGTTGTATAACAACTTATACACATATATAATTGAATTTTTCTTTTAGATATCTATACTGTAATGGCAGGAAGTAGGACGTGTAAAATCTACAATCTTACAAGCTAGTAGTTAATGACATTCTTTGACTATGTATTACTGATTGAACACTGTGGAAGATGTAAAAAAACAGAAATGGGGTCTGATGTCAGAATTTTAAAACTAATCGATGAAATTAGTGAAGGACAACAAATAACACAACACATCATATCATTAAGTGTAAACTATAAACTGTGTGGTACACCCGTTCATACTTTCTACAGACATCTGTTGAGTATCCACCATGCTCCAGGCACTGTGCTAGGTCTGGGGACAGAAGGATGCACAGAACAGACATGACTCCACCCCGATGGTGCTTACAGTCCAGTCAGGTGACAGACATTGCCACAGATTAAAAGTGCAACAGCCCAGACTGTTGGGGGGGGGTGGTGCCTATGGGTAGAGGGTTGGGAAGAAATGTAAACTGTGATTTCAAGAAAGAGGGAAGTTGGAAGGAAAGGGGAAACTGCAGGGGAGGAATGAAAAGCAGGAAAGTCATTCCAGGTGGAGGGAACAATACATGCAAAATGCCTGAGGCTGAAAGAAGTGGCAAGCACTGGAGGCTTGGTGGGGCTGGAGTCTGTCAGAGACCATAAAGGACATACAGGCCTGGAGTCAAGGTAAGAATTCTCAACTTGGCTCTAAGGTACTAGAATATCATTTAGGCAAGAAAAGGGGCCAGGGGGCCAGGATCAGATACTCCTTTTAGAAGATCATTCTTATTGTGTAGAGGCTGCAGATTATACATGTAGATAGTCAGAGAAAGGGAGTCAGTGAAACTGGGGGGTGTTCAGCTGAATTAATGTATTATCTCAGCTTTTCTCTCCCACCACCTGCCCTGACTTGTGCCTTCTGGGAGGCAAACTGATCTGAGTTAATCAGGTAGGTGAGTTTTTATTTCATAAGATGCCAAAGGTACTGATGGGCCAGTGGTAGGATATATGATTTGTATATACATATTGCTAATGTCCCAGGTGGCCAATTTTTGGTTTGTTTGCATTCCTTAATTTTCTTTGTCTTCCTAAGGATGTCAGTGCATTTTGAAGTTAGGTACCGAGGCACTTAACTGTCAAGGCAGGCCTCGCTTTGTGGGTGAGCAGCCTGGGCGATCACACAGGACCCTGTCCTTGAAAGGGCTTCCTGGTTGGTTTCACAAATAGCTGTGGCTGTCTCGAAATTGTAATGGTTTTAGCAAGAAGGTACACTGATAATTATGTAGCCAGAACTGTCTCAAGCTCCAGCTACAGAGCTCTTTCAGGGATGCCCAAATGTGCCTGACACTCTAGGGGAACCCTCTGAGGGTGCGATGGTCAGCTTCTTTCCCGTTTTTCTTCCTAAAAGTACAGGGACACTCCTCTTGGTAGGATGCCGCACCTTGCTACACCTCTCAGGGCCTTTCCATGGGGGAGACAGGAATGAGGTCAGCACACAGCACCCCACACCCCCTTCAGTGCAGGATGTGGCTTCGAGGAAGTGGACAACCTGGGTGTTCTGTAGGAAATGCTCAGCTCAGATCATGTGCCAATAATAGAGCCATAAAAGAATACCCACTGACAGTTAAATTGTGTCTCTGGGTTAATTTTTCTGCACAAGCCTCCAAAGTGGTTTATTCCCAGATTTGTTTCTTATAAAATTTGCTTTGGTTATGGAGATTAAGATCTGGCTTTGGCACTGTTTAAGAGTATTGTTTGACTAGAAAAACCAACCCTACATCACTGTGCAGCTCACCAAAATTTGCATAAATTCACATGGTCTTCAATGAAGTATGTTGAACAATGAACCTGCTTACTATGTTCAGAATATCAAGCTCAGATGTCCTCAACCCTGACTTAAAAAAAAAAGAGACATTCAGTTTCACAAAATAGCTAAGAAATAATATTACTTGAAGCAACATGGTTTCATTTTAGAACCTCTGTTGTCTAGTGATCTTTGCAGCCTACGGCAGACATGATACATTTAATGAGTTGTCATTTTCCAATACAAAGGGCAATAATCCTTGAAGAAAATCAAAATTAAATTTTCTTTTCTTGTTCAGGGTCATCATGGTAGTAGTATGTATAAAAAAAAGATGTAAGGGCCAAATCTTCATTTTTAGCTTCCTGTCCACAGCAACTCAGTTCCAACAAACCCCTCCCCTTGTTTTAATGTCATTCACTTTCTCATGACAAACAACAGTTTGTCATGCAAACTATTATTGCATATTAGCAATCTCCTCACACAGTACCCTCCCCCCTGATGCCAGCTCGCTCGCTGCTGCTCAGAGACATCACTTAGTGCAAAGAAAAGACAATGGGAATTGCTGACACCAGTGTCAAATACCCTATAATTTTTGAAGAGACAAGTAAAAAGCATTTGGAACAGGGATCCAGTGCTCAGCACAGGGCTAGGCTCCAGGGCTTAGAAGTGTCATATATGGTTCTTGAGCTCAGAATGCTTTTAAGGTATAGTTTGGAGCTAAAGACAATATGCACTTAACATCTGGACAAGAAGAGCTAAGAGGAGGTCACTGTGAGTGTAGAAGGGCTTTTGGGGGGCAAGTGCTGACATTAAAGGGTCGGCTGGGAGAGGAGGAAGAACATGGGTGAGGAAGTGCTAAGGGGTGTGCTGAGCAAGGTCACCTGCTCGTGTTCTCAGGTCTTCCTGCACTCAGCAGGCATACAAGAGGAGAAGGCAGGACAATTAAGTTTTTCCCTACTGTGCACACTCTGAGGAATGGGAGCCTGATGTCTTTCTCTGCTCCCTCAACTAAGCTAACAGATACATGTCATCCAATAGCAGTTGAGTACCAAGTTGTCTCTTTCCACAGGCAACCTTATGGCAAGATTATTGCTCCTGCAACCTTCCCAATAATACTGAATACATAAAAAAGCTCCACTCTTATTAGCTGACTTGACACTTAGCCATTTTCCAAAGGGTTCCTGCCCCCAAACAATGTTCCCCTTCTCCTAGGAATCCGTCCCTACCCACATGAATAAGCCCCTGAAGCCCGGTGTTCCACATCTAGAGTCAACATACTTTGCAGCTTCTCTGGGACAGTTCTGCCTTGTACCTGTTGTTCTAATGTAATTATTATTAGTAACCTCCTTTCAGTCTCAAACATACACTGGTTTGAGCAATAAAGTGTATGGTCAGCACTCCCAGCCCCATCTCAGATGATTGGACTGAGCAATGGTCACCTACTTTTAGATAGACCAATAATTTTCTTCTCCCCCAGGAAATGCAGGCCTGGGACAGCGGAGCTGTTAGTGTCTATTGAGAACGTGAAATGTGAGGTCAGTTGCAGCTGAAATGGGCAGGAAATGTGAAACAGAGAAAGAAAGCACAGAGAACAGATGAAGCAGATCCGTGTAGGAAAATGGAGATGACAGAGGCCTGCATCCCCAGTGGGAAAGCCTAAAAGATAAAAAGAGGAGCTATCTGGGCCCCCAGGGGTCATAGTTCCTAATTCTAGTACACTGAGGCCCTTACAATTCCTTCCAATCAATTTTAATTTTTGTTCTTAAACTAGTTTAGGATGACTCTGTGCCTTGCAAACTGACCATCACTGACAGAGACCAATTCTAACAGCTCCCCTGCCCAGGCTGCTTTGATGGTCACACATTTATAACATTAGTAATAACCGTGGGGAAAGCTAAACTCTCTGGAGCAACAATTCCCATTGCTTTGTATTTCAAAGATTGAACTTGCTTAAAAAATATATAGGGAGACTTTTGGTCAAGATGGCAGCATAGGTAAATACAGATCACCTCCTTGCATAACCATATCAAAATAACAACTAAAATATAGAACCACCATCATTCAAAACTGTCAGAAGTCAAGCTGAATGGAAGTCTGACAATTATGGAATTAAAGAACCGCATCTATCCAAACTGTTAGGAGGGGGAGATGTAGAATGGTCTGATCATATATCCATATGTGGTGGATAAAAATTGGGAGGAATATCTTAGGAGCAAGGAGTCCCTGTTCCACACCAGGCCCCCCAGCTCTGGGTTCCAGTGCCAGGAAAATTAGTCCTCATAACTTCTGGCTGCAAAAACTAGTGGGGATTGAGTCTGTGGAAGAAATTGCTGGAGCCACAAGCAGTTCCCCTTAAAGCAGGAGTGTCAAACTCATTTTCACCGGGGGCCACATCAGCCTTGT